GGGCCATCCCCCTGGAAGTCCTGTCTCCTGCAGGAAGTCGGAGGTGAGCGGCTCATGCTTACGGGGCAGCTCCGTGCACGATGGGAGTCCGGGCCCGGTTTCTGGCTGTTCGTGGCTCTGTGCCCCCAGGACTGTTTCCCCATCGTTGGGGTGGAAGCTGGTCCAGGTCCCAGCCCAGGGAGGGGAGGGAGCACAGGGGTGGGTGGCAGTTTTCTGGGTGAGAAATCGGGTGAGAGGGTCGTGTTCTGTGGCCTCATCTCGCCCACCTGCCCCGTCCGCGCCGTAAACCTGGGCAGGTGAGGCCACCCTCCCCGAGCCTCCGGCCGTGTATTCGCCGGCATAAACGGAACGGCTTAAAACATCTGCTGTTTAGCTCTCGGTTCTGTAGGTCAGAGGCCTGGGAGGGCTCAAATGGGTTAGTGTGACCCATTTGAGGGTCCCCCCAGGGCCAAAATCTCGCCGTTGGCCGGGCTGGGCTCTTCTCAGGAAGCTCTGGGTGGGGGGAGGGGGAATGCACTTCCAAACTCATTCAGGTCTTGGCAGAATTCAGTCCCTTGTGGCTGTAGGACGGAGGTCCTGTTTCTTCGCTGGGATTTAGCCAGAGGTTATGCTGAGCGCCCGGGGACGCATCTGATCTTTCGTGCACGCCACATCTCTCTGACTTCTGCCGCCAGCCAGAGAGAACACTCGGCTTTTCGGCGTTTCGCCTGATTAGGTCAGGCCCACCCAGATCAGCTCCGTGTCTGACAGTCAGCCGACTCAGGACTTTAATTACTTTTGCAGAGCCCTTTCACAGCAGTCCCCTAGACTAGCATTGGATTGGACAGCCAGGATCTTAGGAAAGGAGGCAGGGGCGGCTTTAGAATTTGGCCTGCCTTGGTTCCCTCACCTGTAAAACGGGTCTGACAGCATACCCACTCTTGGTACGTGATGCTTTGGTGGCCCGGCTGCTGTTTCTCTCTGGGGAACCTGTTCAGGGGTCCCAAGGGAACCCCAGACTCGGGTTCAGTAATTGACTAGAAAGACTGAGAACTGAGAGGCACTGTTTGACTCACGGTCGCAGTTTATTACAGCAGAAGGACACAGGTTAAAATCCGCAGAGGAGGGGCGCCTGGGAGGCTCAGTTGGTTGGATGGCTGACTCTTGATTTCGGCTCAGGGCATGATCTCACGGTTGTGGGATCGAGCCCCACGTTGGGATCCCTGCTGAG